TCACGGAAGATGTCTCTGTGATTTAGTAATTTGTGGACGTGGCAGACAAGTTAAATTTGTTTGACTTAAAAATTCAAACAAATTACAGTCATTGTTCGTCACAAATTGGCTCGTCGTCAAACTAGGACACAATTAAGAAAATATCAAAATTTTCAGATATAATTCCCCGACAATTTTTCAGTTATTAATTTGCCCATGAGGACATAGACTGCCAAGTATCTCCTTTCTTGACATCCTAAAGACCTGTTGACACTTGCAAATTTTGCTGCGATTTTAGGTGCCGGATTTTCTTCTTCAGAAGAAGAAAATCGCACCTAACATTGCAGCAGAAATTTCAAATTATCATTCCACTTCCTTTAAAAGGATGTCAATTTACGACCGGATCTTGGCGCTGGAGTACAAGTTGGACATGGGACACAGTAGATGACGCATTGATAGTGCTGGATAAGAAGCATGATTATGGGATCGCGACTGGATTTAATGTTTCTACCATGGACTATCAATCATGTTCAGTGGAGTCCCTCCGTTACTGGGCGGAAGATATGAACTGGACGGAGGCGTCATATTTTTTCAGTTATTCCAAACCAGTGATGTTTAAATTGAATAATATGTGGCATCTTTCATGGGTGAGTGATGTTTTTGTCGAAGTCTCTGAGATTTCCATAACAAATTCAGAATCATGTCTGTTTGTGATTTTGTTACAGAAATGTTTCCTGGTTTGTCCTCCTTCGGGGAACATGGCCAGGAAACAATGTTTCCTGGTTTGTCCACCTTCGGGAAACATGGCTAGGAAACAATGTTTCCTGGTTTGCCCACCTTCGGGAGACCTGACTAGGAAACAATGTTTGCTGGTTTGCCCACCTTTGGGAAACATGGCTAGGAAACAATGTCTCCTGGTTTGTCCACCTTTGAGAAACACGGCTAGGAAACAATGTTTACTGGTTTGCCCACCTTTGGGAAACATGGCTAGGAAACAATGTTTCCTGGGAAACAATGTTTCCTGGTTTGCTCACCTTTGGGAAATATGACTAGGAAACAATGTCTCCGTTTTTGCCTACTTTGGAAAACCTCAAATGTGACCATGCATGTTTTATAGGGCCTAACTAGACTAACTATTCTGTTTTTCTAGAATGTTAAAAATCTTGAGAAGAACGTAAGCAAGAGCTTCAATGGAAAAATTTTGAAGTTTCAAATTGAGTGTGAAAAACCTGGCCCTCCTCAAAACGAAGACGAGGAATTGGAAATTACGTCATGTTTCCCTGTTAAAGTAACTGGCGAATTCAATGGTATAATTATAAAATAACATGTATATAACGCGTGCTCTGATTGGTCGAAACCCGTGTTTGGATCAAGCCATCCAAACCCAGAAATTTAAAGTGAAATTTTAACACGGAAAGTTGTTATTTTATAAAACAATTACTTTATGGTTTCCGTGTTTGGATGGCCTGATCCAAACACTTGAGAATGTTGCTCGAGTTAAGAAAACTGCGCAAAATCACTCGCCTTCGGCTCGTGTTTTGTGCGCTTTTCTTAACTCTCGCAACATTCCCGCGTGTTTGGATCAGGCCGTCCAAACACGGAAACTATAAAGTAATTGTATAATATGCGGCAGGCAGATTATCAGTCAAAGTGTAGCATGTGTCTGACGGATCATTCTTCTTCTTAGGCTACGTTGTCACTGTACCTTTTAGCAACGCTATTTTCAGAGGAATTATTGCAACAGAGAGATGTTATTTCACTCAGCTTCTGAAAGTTGTACATTCAGTCCCTGACAGATAGCTGCTTTTTCGCGCCGGAATAGTGTAAACGTAGCCTACTGGGTTAACACAAGATGAACGATACAGGCAAAATAGCTAAAATAAAACTATATTGATAATGATTCTCATGAGAAGGGGAGGGGGGGGGGGCAAACACCCAGGACTGGAGTTTGCAAGGGTTGAACCAAAATTCTTGTATCTTTTGCAGTTACTTCGAAGTACTGGGATTCACAGAACACAACAGGCGTTAATACAGAAGCTCGGACAACATCAAAATCCAATCAAGATGCATTACTGCTCTCCTTACTTATTCCGCTCAGTTTGGTTGTGCTAATAGCTGGTGTTCTTATTGTTGTATGTTATATCAGACGTATGGCATGTTTTGCAGAAAGGCAAGATCCACATCATGTTGTACTGGATGACGATGTCGTACAAAAGAAGTTGATTAAAAATCCAGCCGATGAAAGTACTGTGTAGAAGATTTTTTCATTGCATGGACAATTGCATAAGAAAATCTTACACGGCTTAATTGGACTATGGGAAGCTAATAAAATGGAAACAAAATAATTAGTTATACACGAGAGGTGTATTTAATGATGTAAAACAACTTTTGGGTGCATATAATCTCTGAAACAAACCAGTATTTAAAGACATATTTACGTAAAAATGGAGTGATCATTACCGTTGTATCAAGAAAGCAATAACTGATAAGTTGCTGGTTTCCTTTGTTCTTTATCCAGTAGAATCAATATTGTGTCTAATTATATAAGTAAACGACTTTCCACTTAATTTGAGATGTCAAAACTTTAAGCAAAATAGCTTTGGAACAGTCGAGAAAAATGTAGACACGTCTCTTGAACGTCTAGCCTAAATTACTCTTATTATACTTGTGAAGAGGAATTTGTAATATTGTTCAAGTGACAATGCAGAATGATAAATGTTTTAATCATACCATCACAATAGCATATTTTGCATCCCGGAAGGCTCTACTTCCTTATAAGGAAGAAAGAAATAAATGTGCTCATTATTATTTCATGGTGAAGAGTTGCGGTTGAATGTTTGACAAATGAGTTGCCTTCTTTTTTATTGGCCACTTTACGCGTGTACTGGCGAATAACTTTTCATATACAAAAAACTGATATAGGATATATCACTACCAGTACTACTACACTGTTCATTCCAGTGAGAACTACGATGCATGGTACAGTATGATGGCGATAATTCGTAACAGTTCATATGTTTCCCCTTCCTGTAAGCGCCAACTCTACATTCATTACTCGGCCCCTTCTAAATTAGATTCTATCTTCGATGTTAACAGAATGTGCACTTAGGAAACTTATTGATGCATTCTTGCTGATAGATGGCTTGCATTATCCGATTTACAAATAATAAAGCTTTTTTTGTTTGGATCCTCACTACTTTCTGAAGATGAAAATTTTCAAATCTTTTACCATGTCCAAAATTTTATAAAAGAAACTAAACGTTTCCATACTCAGGAGATCTGAATATGTTTGCAGTTCATCTTTCAGTACTTCCTTGTGTGTTTTTCTTCTATAGTATACGGACTGTATGAATGTCTGACCGAGTTGTGCATGTTTTTTTTTCTACGTATATGTAAGGGAGTGTTCATTATTTATACCCGGGGTTGGTACCAAAGAGAAATGGGTTGGGTAAGCCATTTTTCTGGGGTATGAAGGGTTGGGTAAATATTTTTTGAACAAAGCCTATGGTTGGGTAAATTATTTTCAATACAAACCTTCAATTGAACAAAATATGAAAATCCTTTATTTAACAAAATGGGTCATTCCAGGAAATATCCATTCATTCCCCACAAAGAAAACTAAACTCCAACTCCCCATCCCCTCTGATTACAACAACGAGATATGGTAGGACTGCAGGAACTTGGAGGCTTGGGAACATAATATGAACTTGTGAAGGTACAAATGATTATATTTGACATTCAGTTATTGCGCCAAATATGCATAGTACTGTTTATACTATGGTGGCCTAGCTTGTATAATAATATATATGTATATATGTAAAATACTTGTATAATTTTGAAATTGGGTTGGGTAAAATAAAAATCCAAGTCATGCAATAGTTGGGTAGGGAAAAAAATGGCTGATTGAAAGGGTGGGTGGTTGTTTTTTTCTCTTTTCGATTAGTTTCTCTTCGGTACCAACCCCGGGTATAAATAATGAACACTCCCTAAATTTGAAGTGAGTCCCCTAGATGAGCAACTAGTAGCTCTTGGGGGCAAACTTCTTTTTCAAAATTAAATATTTCTTATAACCCCCCCCCCCCCCCGAAAAACCCTGAAAAATACAAAGAGAACCCTTCGCTCGGAACGTCGAAGTTCTCGTTCAGGTAGTTCGTTTGTTAAACTTTATTGATTACAAATTAATTCAACAAATACTCATCTAAACATGCAATTAAAAAGTGTTGTACTCAAACGGACAAGGCACAAACTGGACGTAAAGTCCATTGCATGGTGCCCCTCCTCTTCCTAACATCACCTTTTAATTAAAGTCACAGTATACTGTACAGGGTGTCCCAAAAACCCCAAAACCACTGAAACAACGCACTGCTAGAATCCGAATGCCTCAGCACCAAACTGAACGCCAAGATGCATGCGTAAAAGTTCACGGACTATGTCACCGAAGTTTTGTTATTATCGAATATTGGCACTACCTATCTTATATCTTATATACACTAGATAGTGCATCTAATTATTCTGCAATTGAAAAATTGAAGCCGTGATTGCAGACTCAGGATATTCCCATGAAATGCGAAGACTCGTATGTTTTCTATTTCTTAAACAGGGAACTTAAACATTAAGTTAAACCTATTCCGAATACATTTTCAAATTATTCAAATGATGAAAGTTATTGTTGTTTTTTAAGCGTTTATTAGCAAGTGGGAAACTCCAATATGGCCGCCATCTATTCAAATGGGGGTAACCGCTGGAATATTCTTGACTTCAGTTTTACGAAAAGAGATGCGCTATCTAGTGTATATAAGATATCTATGTTATCTATACACTGGCACAGATAATTCAAGTTTATAATTTAAGCTGTTTTTCTTAATTTTTCAAACATAATACGTAAACAGTCCTTGTGTTTAATGTTTTGTTGTCTTTTCCTGTGTTGTTCTGGAACGTTTGTCAGGTTTGGTCTTCACATGGGACCCTTAACCACGCCATCGACCATAAACATTTTGAATTTGGTTGTACAGTAAATAAATAAATGCAGTCAAAACTGGTGGCTCAGGCGAAATTCAATCTCGTTCCCCGAGCCTGCGATCCCCGGGAAGGAACGCGAGGCTCTGGGACTAATCCGTTGCCGGAAGCCAGGAATCCTGACTAAGATTGAACTGCACATTCCATATCAACGGCCAATCAGATTCCGCTCCCTGAAACGGATTATCCCAGAGTCTCACGTTCCTTACCCTGGATCAGGGGGTTTCCTGTTTTGCTGAAGCTGTAGCCTGCACTTTCCTTCCCGAGGATCGCAGATTCGGGGAACGAGATTGAGGCTAAATTATGATCAGACAACTGCACAACCTCGTACCCAGGGCCTTTGTGAACCGCGCACGTTGACAAGTGCATATTGCAGGAATCAAGTTTCGTTGCACACGTGACAGGCACGTGCACTAATGACTGTACCACAACAGATAAGCAAGTGCATATATGTCCAATTTTCGGAAAATGTTCAAGACGTCAGCTCGGTTATATACGCTATGAAACCTTTTAGTATGATATCTTATAGAAAACTTAATTGTGTGTACGGGGCCTGGTTCGATAAAAGTACTCAGATCCTAATTTATGGAAGATTCCATTAACCGTAATTTACAGTCCCCAACCTAACCCTAATACTAACCTTAACCCCAACCCTAACCTAACCCTAACCTATTTAAAAAATTGATATAAAAACGGAAACCTTATTTTGAAGTATACTATCTAGCAATTTCCCTTAACGCATGCATTGTTACAAATTTGGATGCAGTTCATGACGTTGCGCACGCACAAATCAGTAAACAGGAAATGTGTCCCGAGTGAGCCATCATCCCTCTGATCCCTGATCAAAATCTTTTTACTTATCCAAGATTTTCATCTTAGGCCGGCAAACGGCGAAATTCGCCCTACCTTTTAGTCAAGCCATGCCCAAATTCGCCAGAGCTTTACATTTTACTGTGTTTCTTCAATTGTCAAACGAGAACCACGAAAAATTTTGGTGGACAGATCATTGACATTGTCTTGCGTTTTACTAAACTACGAAAATGCTGCATATATTATTTGTACTTTCACTACTTTGTTAGGAAAATCATCCCCAGAAAACCAAAATGGCAACAAGAGCATCGAAATTTCAAAGTTTCCTGGGAAATCATGCCTCCAGATCCCCTATTTTTTTTTAAAACAAGAAACCAATGTCTGAGAAACTTGCCAATATTTTGTTGTTTTCACTAGCAGAACAAGCAAAGCTCTCGCAGACGTCCATCCACTGTAATTATGGAGCCATATAGTTAATGGGAATAATGGCGAAAAAGCAAACACGTCGTTATCTCGCAAACGCAAAACAAATCATGCATTATGGCACGCGTGACAACGCAATACAGAAACAAACATGGAGACATCTCGAACAGCGCAGGAATTTTATCTCGCTGACTTTGCACCGAATATAGCGAACTTGTTCTAATAATAACCCGCGATAAGGTCTCCCTACACTGTGGAGGGATAGAATGACTGACGTGTAGCAATTATGTTAGTATCATAACAAAGCAATTACCTTAAACAATCACTTAATACCTCGATGTCAAGTGCATTTTTAAAGATATTTTAAGAACATTATGGGACGCATGTCTACACATACAATAAAAGACGAGAAACGCAAATTATGTTAATACTTATATTATAGAATATTCGAAGCGCGCGTTTCATAACTGCGCGCACAATTTGTTAATGAATCTACAAATTGCTAACATATGTACAAAAAAACCTAGTATATAATTAAGTCACGCACGCGAAGACTATAGTTTTATCTTTCACGACTGACACCATTATATGTTCAAATATTTATCTTAAATACAAGGAATAGAATAATTTGCTATATATACTGTCACCCCAAAACCCGAATTTGTGCCGCATAATTTTATGATTCGGAATAAATTCTTTTAATAAATCTGATTGACATCTTCCAGTGGGCATTATCTTTCTCTTTACGGCTGTATCAAACACTTATAGATTATACGTTTATTTCTGCTTGTCTGTATAAATGTGAATGTCCCTCAAAAATTACGCATAAGCTAAAAATGAGATGAATTAATTGGGCACTTTCTCGATATACGCACAACCCTACCCCAAACCTAACCTGTCTATTAATTTTTATAACAGATTTCGGTTGCGCATATATCGAGAAAGTGCCATTACTTCGCTTTGCTCGCCTGCATATAGAAGGCCAATGCCTAATGCCCATACTTAACACTTTAATAGCCTTTCGCAATATGGCAAGTTTTTTTATAGCAAGTCTTAGAATTGCTCAGACTTCATCAGTACCAACTGACAGCTAGTCTATTTAGCAACCTTTATATGGAAATTTGTTGCAGAAAACAAGCTTAAAAATTAATCAACTTAAAATGGTCAAGGGAAATTTGCCAAGAAAATGCTGTAATCGTACGTCTGTGTATAAATGTACATATCTATCATATATAAGGTGATTCTCTGTCTGTGAAGGCAAAGGAATGTTTCTGCGTTTTCAATCTGCACTTACTTTAAAGTTATTAAATTTAGTTCATTGACTCTAAGCATACATGGCAGCATATAGTGGTCAACTTGGGATATCAAGACTACATTTCTCAAGTCTATTTATCTGCCAGTAATTGCAAGACCACAACATAAAATTTTCTCACTGCCAGTTGACCACCATCTGCTGCTTCTACTGCACGATAGTGCTTAGGGAAAACCACTTATTTGAATATCTAGAGAAAGGAGTATAAATATGCACACATTAAATTTGTCCAATGTATTATTTGTTCACAAATCACCGTCTGTGTGGGATAGCAAATCTTTTCACTAGGTCTTTAGCAAACGATTAAGTTCCCGACGTGCGAAACTCCGCACATCATTTAGACGCAAATTATGCAAATATTTCAGTCAGTTCTTTAACTGCGCGTTCTCGGCGTGTGCGCTCGTAGCGGTGCGCGCGGTGAGCTATCGTCCTCATCGTTGTTGGAAACGGAATAATTCTGCAGGAGAAAGCCAGTGACAGCGGCGCGACACTCGTACTGCATTACAACTTCACGAAGCGCTTTCTTGAAATCGGTTTTAAAGAACACGTAAAGGATTGGGTTTATGATCGACGAACAGAAACGTACAAAGAACAAAATCAAGTACGCGACTTCGGGGATCTCCATAAACGTCGGTTCGAGGTCTTGAGCTAAGGATGAAAAGAAAAATGGAAACCAACATACAATGAAGACAAGCAACATTGAAGCGAATATCACCATGGCACGTTTTTCTTTGGTTAAAGTTTGTTTCTCTCGAGTCGTTGCCTCGATCGCGCGAGCATGTCGGGTCACAATTCGTAGCATCTCAGCATAAGCTAGGATCATAATGACAACCGGGACCAAGAACGCGATGACGGCACAGGTAATGTTGTAGTGTAATTCGTAGCGACGTATGCGCGGATTTATTACGTGGAGGTTGTACGGGTCGTACCAGGCAAGTTGGATTAGTGGCAAAAACATTGCCGCGCCCCAGACTGTAGCCAGGAGAGCGTAGCCTACACGAGGAGTAAATGTACTGCTGTGGCGGAACGGTCGCGTGATAGCAACATACCGATCGCCGGTTATAAGAAGTAAATGATACACGGTGGAGAACGCTGTCACACGATGCACCATATCGAAACTGAAACACAACTCAATTTTATTGCCGGACAGCATACACGCAAAATGCAAGGGTATAACCACTAGTCCTGTCAACCCATCGCTTACGGCCAAACTAACGAGGAAATAATTTGTGATTTCTTTTAGGCAAGGTTTCCAGATGAATAAACAGATGACGAGGCCGTTAATGGCGATGATAAGTAAAGCAAGGAAGATTATAAACGTGTCGTAGACTGGATTAAACCCGGAAGCATGGTTATGCAGTGAATGGTTAAAGCTTGCATTCACGGTGCTGTTGATCAAAGGAAACGTTGTATTGCCAGGTAGAATAGCCATATTTTATGTCCAAGTTGTCCACATAGATCAAGCTAAGACAACGTTCAGACGACCACACTGCTTTCACAGTCAGGGTTCACGTAGTACTGCACGGATTAAACCAATTCTCTTGACAAGCTGTCGTTGCTTCTTTCAATCTCTGTTAAGAATTTTTTTTACCGTATCAAATCCCTATCGTGCAAGGTGTTAAGGCTCTACTTCTGTCACCTTTCGAGTCGACAAGCACGAGAGCAGCAAGTTCTGATCCCGTTTAAGATTTCCTAATTTCAAAACAAAGTTAATTCTGTCCAGCCAAGGTTAACCTGCGGTAACAATCAGTCTTCGTGTCGAAACAACAAGCGGTCCAATACAGTATACAGTTTCAGGAAACTATTAGGAAATTTGAGTTGTGTGTACAATTTCAGGGGATTTCTGAGGAAGTTTTTATTCCGTTGATTTTAAACTGCCACTATTGCAACGCCACTGGCCAGTTGGATAGATAATTACACTTGGGAAAGCGCCCTCCACGGTCTATGACTGTCTGTATAGAGAGAATCTGTGCCAGTATTTGGTGGAAAATTCTTCTGTGTGTAAATAACTCAAGGCAGTACAAGCCAGTACTATAATACAAGGTTCTGATTACAGCGAATCCTGAAAGCAGCCAAGTTTCTCGCGATATTTTGCAACGTAGAGTCAGTCAGAATTTGTTCAGTAACAGATAATTCGAGCTAGTTCAACGCCAAGATATTATACAGATATTACAAACCAAAAACCAAGACGCATATAGAACCACCTCAGCTTACAATGTCAGTACTTGTCACAGTCAATTCAAGCCAAGTCACGTCTTTAATTACAAAAAATACAAACAAAATCACGATGTATATCTGACTAATCTGAGCACTTCTGCTTACAGAGAGTTAAAGCCAGCACAATATACAATATATAGAGTTCTTTCGACCACGTTCCGAGCACACGTTGTCCTTGACAAGCCAGCAATGTCGAAATGATGTGTTGGAGAGTACTTAACCAGTCTTTAAGCACGCGAGAGTGCGTTGAACTCTCGCCTGACGTGCGCGTGACGCTATTGAAGTGTACTGCTCGAGGGAGTATGTGAAAATAACTGAAAGACGTTGTCTCTTGGCAAGGTTTGAGATAATAAGAAGATATCTTTAGACTAAATCCTTGAAGAATGAAGGATCTGTGGTGATGAGCACCATATGAGGTGAGCGTTATCTCATCTGCTCGCACGGCCAGCTACACGAACGTCTCAAATTGATGATAACGAGCAAAGTAATCACTTTTATACTGACCACTTGACTGAGATAAAGACTTCTTAAGCTGTGAAGGTTAATCGAATTATTCCAATGACGCAATATTAAGGAGGGCGCCATGTATTTTTCCTGTTTTCAAAAATATCAGGAATGTTCTACTGTATATGTGTCAGTCAAACTATACGCTAGCTTCACTGTAAATTTTAAGGAGTTGAATCAACTCTAAAAGTGTCATTCTGTCACCGTTTTTCGTAACAGAATAACTCTTATGGACGTGATTCAACTCCTTGTAATTTACAGTGTTGCTGTACCATAACATACCATACAATACAATAGTAAGTCGTATTATTTTCAGAACATACCATACCATAACATATATGTACAGTAAACAACGTACCATATTACACCGCACCAACACCATACCACACCATACATACCATACAATACCACTCGGTAAAACAGATTGGTTAAAATAACATGCAGTTTGAATTGGTGGTCTCAGTGCACTTATTTGACCAATATTTTACTAGTTAAAACAGCCAAAAATTGGGTTATTTTAACCAATTTTTCCGTTGTTTTGACCAAATATTGGTCGAAAGAAAATGCATCTGTGTCAACCAATTGAAATGAGTTATTTTAACCAATCCGTTCACACAAAAATAATAAAATAATATCTACCATAACCAATCCGTATACATAAAAATAATAAAAGAATATCTACCATAGCATACAATACCACACCATACTACAGTATATATGAAAGTTCAACCGTTTTACAACAGATCTCAATGCATTTTACAGAAAAGAAAATTGTTCAGTACATGGAACTATAGTTACCACAGTAACAAATGATACAGTTCTATACATAGTTATTAATGTTTTTTCGGTATAAATGAAATTTTCCAAACGTGGAAATTGAGATGGAACTGCTCCTGTTTATCTCTAAAGATGCATGTATGTAAATTTCGCTCTAAATTCCGCCAACCATGCACCATAGATATCTTATATACACTATAGACAGTGCATCTAATTATTCTGCAATTCAAAAATTGAAGCCGTGATTGCAGACTCAGGATATTCCCATGAAATGAGAAGACTCGTATGTTTTCTACTTCTTAAACAGGGAACTTAAACATTAAGTTAAACCTATTCCAAATACATTTTCAAACTATTCAAATGATGAAAGTTATTGTTTTTTAAGCGTTTATTAGCGAGTGGGAAACTTCAACATGGCCGCCATCTATTCAAATGGGGGTAACCGCTGGAATATTCTTGGCTTCAATTTTACTAAAAGAGATGCGCTATCTATAGTGTATATAAGATATCTATGACATGCA